CAGTGGAGAGGAAATGCTCCCTTTTAACAGGAAGAAATCTTCAGCAGAACCAGGCTCAGTGTGAGCGGCCATTTCCTGAGGCTGACTGGGGTTCAAGGAGACAGAAGTGTAGATACAAAAAGCAGCTGTAAAAGGCGGCCCAGGAAACACACAGCCAGGCAGACGAGCTCCGAGCCAGCTCCCATGCCAGAGGATGAAGAGAGCACATCCAGCCAGTCACAGTCAGAAAAACAGGGTTCAATCTTTTTTTACTTTATTCGTAAAACAATGAAAATAATGTATATTAGTTTGTTTTTTGCTTTTGCATAAAATTATTATAAACATATTTTGTAGGAATACATTCAGGACAAGAAGAAACAGTCCATGATGTAGAGGACTTGTAGCTCTGCAAATTTTGCAGATGAGGTACATGACCCATGAGACATATATTTTTATATTTTGTAAGAGAATACACTGCACCTTTGCAACACTGGTACCCATGTAATATCATTTCAAGATGTGAAACGGTTCAACCATTCCTGCAGATCTGTGAACAAAGTTGACCTCTATACCTTTACATCCCTGCTGCTTATTGCTCTCCTGCTGATGACTTATGGCACCAAAGACAACATAAGTTATTTCTAACCAAAAAATATTTTTGTCATAAAGTTGCACAACAGGGAGCTCAGTGGGGAGGAAAACCCGAGTGTTGAGACATTCTGTCACTGACACCTTTATGCCTGGCTCTGCATTGCCAGAAAACGGAGCTGAAAGAAAACGAACCGACTGACAGCTTTAACAGCTAAGGACCAAAGAACACACACATTCATAAAAAAAAATGGTTTCTATAAGTCCAGGAAGCTGGTCAGGCCGTCAACCGCAATGCTGCCTCTTTTCAGGTTGTATTTCTTAAAAGACAATGGAGAAAAAGTCTTCCAGTAGCAAAGAAACAATGAAGAGATACGACTGGAAGCTCACAAATACAGCTGGCAATAGTTGCATCACTTTTGCCGAAACTGTCAGGAAAGGCTGTGACATCAGGAGGAAAAGTTTTTGGAAGAAGTTTCAGTTGCTGTCAGTTTCAGACCACATGTAATGTTTGTTCTTTAGGAAACCGCGCTGGCTTTTACAGGAACAATGTGGTGGCTGTTAGACACGGCAGACGTTATGTAACATCACTGAAGAAGAGGGAGCATGTGCAATTCATTACTACTTGATTACATATAAAGCAAGTTCCCTGTACAGAACATCCGTGCTGCACTTATGGGTCTCATTAAGACATCAGGATAGTGTTGTTTAGATTTTAACTTAGCATGCAGGGACAGGAGGATTTAGCTTTATGGTTCAAATGATTGAGCGACGTGTTCTGACTGCAGCAACAGTCTTTTTTACAACAAACAGTTCTTAATAAAACAAGACAAAAAAATATGCAAACCCACTTGGTGATTGTTCTGCAATTTTATTTTAGAATAAACCGACAGCAACAGAAACATCTGGGTTTTTTTTTCTCTTGAGGTTATAAAGATGCACATAATGTTAATTAAGAAGTGGTTAATCCCAGAACTAATATCAACTTTTTAATTTCATGAGCATAATTAGGGCTTGTTTTTCTTACAACCCCTGCAGTTAGTTTAAAAATGTAGATGAAAGTAAGTTTACTTTAAATTAATATTTAAGAATATCATTTCATTTAGTGAGTGTAGTCCTGTTTCTCTGACTGTGACTAACTGTACCTGCTCTCCTTCATCGTCTGACATGGAAGCTGGCTTGGAGCTCGCCTGCCTGGCTGTGTGTATCCTGGATGAGGCCGCCTGCGGAGCTGGTTGATAGTTGCCTTTTGTATCTCTTCTTCTTTTTCCATCTCTGCTTCTGTCTCCTTGAAACCCAGTCTGCCTCGATAGATGACGGCTCACACGGAGCCTGGTTCTGCTGGAGGTTTCTTCCTGTTAAAGGGGAGTTTTCCTCTCCACTGTCGCTACAAGCATGCATAGTGTGAGGGATTGCATTCAAGTCAATGAGTCGATGCAATCAACTGGTTTTCCTTAGATGAAAAACTTTTAATCAATTTGACTGTATGATCTGGTTGAATTGTCTCTGTAAAGTACCTTGAGATGACATGATGTGAATTGGAGCTATAAAAATAAACTGAAAGGAATTTAATTTATCATGTGGAGTCATTAAACTATGTCTACCTTCACTTTTATAATTTACATTTAAACTGTGGTGGACAAAGTACTCAACTCATGGTCAAATCTTCCTTAACTACAAGTAAAAGTTACTTGTTGCAAGATAAAGTATTGAAGTACTCACTTTTGAAAATATTTAAGTATTCAAAGAACATGCATTTAAAAAAGTATTCAAAGTAACATATTAAATTTTCTAATCTAAGCACATTTCTTTATAATTTTCACAGTAACTATAGGTAACTTTCAGGAACCACCTGATGTATTGAGGCATAGATCCACCTGTTACAGATTCTAAACCACCAGGAAAGAACTTTAGCATAAAAATACCACAATAAACAGAAAGCTAGTTTGATTTTTATGTCTAATTAAAAAAAGAAATCACTAGGAAAGCAGGAGTGTCTTGATTCTCCTCAGACTTTTACTGTGGAATAGAGTTTGATGTTGAATCTATTACCACAAAGAAACTATAACTGCTCTGAGAACTCATCAGACTGAACACTTGGACACATGTCAACAACTAGCACATTATTGAAATTTATAAACTACAAATAATATCTGCCCTAAATCTCTAAAACTGTCTTTTCCAAAGTCAGTCCTAAGTGCTGCTATCTACCATGTTGAAATTGCATCTCCAGAGAGAAAAATAGCAGCAGCTGGAATTTGTGTTAATTCCAGCTTCCTGAAAATGTAATAAAATTAATAGACTTTTTTACATTCCACCACTGTATTTACGGGTTTAAAATAAAGTAATAAAGTAAACATCTTTTATTAAAAGTGTCAGGACTCCTGTCTATCTGTTGTGTTTCTGTGTTTGTCTCCTTTCCTCCACCAGGAGGTGAATGGTTCTGGTCCGCCTCCTCACACACCTGCTGATGGTTTCCTCGTTAACGGAGTGTTCTTAAGCTGCTGACTGCCACTACCTCGACGCCAGAGTGTTTGCCAGTTTTGGGTACTCTAGCCTAGCTGAGTTTTGCTGAGTCAAACTGAGTTCCTGTAAACCTGAGTTTTAACATTGTTTTGTCTTTTGCCTCTCGGCAGGAAGTCATCCTGCAAACTAGATTTTTCGGACCTTCTCTCTCTGAAGGGTCAACTGAGCTTCAAACTGAGGCCCCGTCCACACGAAGTCAAACCCTGGCCTAAACGCACACATTTTTCACCAAACCAGCCTCTCATCCAAACGAAGCCGGCGTTTCGGGGGTCTGTAAACAATCTTTTTTTTATTCATCCTTCAGAGTGGGAAGATTTTAAAATGCCGTTTTCGCGTTTCCATCTTTAAGCTCTAACCGCATTTTTTTTTTTACACGCATGGTTCATAGCGTCGCCTCTAAACACGCATGCGTGACACAGTATCACAACAACAATGGCGCCGTACTGTATTGAATGGTTGCTGCTCATGCTACTCACCCTGCTGTCGGGCTTACAACAGAATCTTCTTCTTCTGGAATATCTCCAGGAAGAACAGAGCAATATCGACGACATAGTTCAGCACCTGAATTTGACTGAACCACGAAAATGGACCCGCAGGGCAACCATGTATAAATATTAGTGCGCATGCCCAACATTTCGTCGCCTATTTTTGCTTTGGCACGACAGCGCCACTTACAGGCCTGGCATACATTTTGCAGCGTCTTCATGCATTCGTGTGGACGATCACATTTATTTTATGTCTTCGTCTTTACGACAAACTTTCTGGAAAATATTAGCGTTTCGTGTTCGTTTTGACTATGTGTGGACTGAGCTGGGGTTCAAACAGGAGGTTTGGGTCCACTTTCCCCAAGAGATCGTTTAAGCTTCACACTGAGAAAGGGATTCATCTCCACAACGACCCATTCAAGTACCGCAGGAAATCTGAGTGGCAGTCAGTTTCTCCATTCACCTACAAACAACCGCATTCTGGGTAAACCCTGTTCCGCCCTCCACCAAATCAGACAAACAGTGGAACTACAGCATACAGACTGGAGTCAAAGATTCAACAACTTCTCTGGAAACGTGAGTCAGCAACCAAATCCTCTTCTTCAAGTTCACGAATCAACTTTCTCACTAAGCCTCAACTAATTGCTTCTCTCTGCATTATCTCTTCAATAAAACCTGGTAAACCTTTTTCCCTGGTCTCCCCGTTTGGTCTTCTGCCTTTGGGTCTGAACTTTAGTAAAATCATGACAAAAGGCCCACCATGTAACGTTTTGGCTACTAGGGCCGCTACACTTGTAACTGCCTGAATTTTGTTTCTACTAAAAATCAAACATCATAACAAAGATATATAACTATATCCTAGTGGCAAAGTGTTAACTTACCAGTCTAATAATAAAGTTGAGGGAAGAGAATTAGTTTTACATAGGTTTTGTTCTTCTATTTGCCAACGAATAAACTTTCCAAGATGTACTCTCGTTTTTTCCTTGCACACTTATTTAGTTTACCTTTTTGAGTTTGAAGCCCACTCCCACAGACTGCTACTCTGGGTCTCTGAGCAAAGACCCTTAACCCCCGATTGCTCCCCAAGATGGCAGCCCACTGCTCCCCAAGGGGATGGGTTAAATACAGAGGTAAAATTCTACAATATGACATCAATAAAGTGAAATGATTATTAATTATTATAAGATTTCAAACCTCTACATTTTTATTTTTAAATGTTTTTATATTAAAACCACAAACTGTATTTTTAAATACCTGAATGCTGCTTTCTAAATGGCATTTCCTCTTTTTTAACAGATCTAATAAATAAGGTTCTCTAAAACACCTCTGAAACATTCATGCAACAGCTGTATTTGCAGACAGATGTGGTAGAGTCGAGGAAATTATGGCCACAAGTTTTTTACTGATGAAGAGACCCCGAGATGCAGCTGGTATCACAATATTTTATTTCAGAGTATCGTAGTAAACAGGGTAAAAATCCAAGAAAGCCATTTTTGAGTTTCATCTGTTTGAAAATGCAATAAAATCAAAACAAACAATGCATCTGTATCCCTATATTTGAAATCATGTCTGAATCAAACACAGTGTTGGAACATGACAAAAGTGGACGAGTTCAAATCGTATTACTAACTGTATTTGCTTTATGTTCTATACTTAAGCATCTTACAACTCTCCGTCTCCAGAGCTTTATTTTTTTTGCTGTATAGTAAGAAGAAAAACAATGGAGTGATCTCATTGTCCTCTTCAGACAGTCTCCTTAGTCTCTCGTTCACAGCAAAGTAGAAGCAGCTCTAAGGAGCAGAGATAAGGCTCTGGAATGTTTTCGGATGACTTGTGTTTGTGGAAAAAGTCTTAGAAATAGATTGAACCAGATGCTCTAAAATAACTCAGTTTTTCTGATTAGCTGGAAAAGGCCTCAGGGAGAGATGAGATGCGTGCTTCACATACACGTTGCCATCCACCAGCTTCACCTCATAAACTTGTTGCTGTCAAAATGAAAACAAGACAAAAAGTCAGAAGTGGCAGAAAACAATTAACTATCTAAGACAAGAATTATGTTTCTAAAAATGATGTAATCTTCCTGTTAAAAAAAGTCAGACCACAGATCAGAATTTGTCCTCATGTTAAACATTTACTTCATTTGAAGTTTACTGGTGCTACTTTGATTACAAACAATGTAAATTTGTGTTAATTCCTTAATTCAGTCCAAATGTATTGAACTACAAACTGCCTATTTTTACATTGCTTTTGGACACTTACCATGATCTGGATTTATGAAATTTTAGAAAAGGATAATTTTTACAGATTTTTTTAGTTTTTAAACTCTGATTATTGTGAATATTGTTATTACCTATTTGTTTGTTTTTGTTGCTGTAACAAAGACATTTCTTAGGCACAGATTTATCAAATAAACTTTTTTTAATGCCTCCTATAATTTTTTTTTTTCAAATCATGATCTTGATCTGCAAAAAATCAGCATACTGTATGTAGATACAATTAGCTTATGTGGAGAGAATTAATGTGAGTTAAGAATATTGAACTTATAAAGGTTCCATTGGACCCTTTACCTCTAATGATGTCCCAGACTTTCCAGTTTTGAGGTCGTAACCATAGTCATGCCAGGGGCAGAAGACTCTCAGGACTCCATCAGCCTCTTCGATATCCCCCTCACACAGAGGACCACCTGAAGATGCAGGAAACAGCTAAAGTATGAGGCTAAGTTACGCAAGAGGATTAGGTTCACTGAAAAAAACTAACAAAAAACAGTCAACTGATTTTGTATTTATTTTAATATGGGGAAACAAGTCAGAATTTTGACTTTAATCTCAGAATCCTGACTTTTTTTTATACAGAAGAGGATCAGCGCCATAATATAAAAAAAGTAAACAGAAAGTTAAATAAAAAAAAAAAAATCAGTTTAATATGGAAAAAGTCAAATTCTGAGGAAAAAAAGGCAAAATTCTGAACCAATGCAAGAAACAAGAGATAGAGAAACTAATCCAACCAAAACACCACTATATCACCAAAGCTATAATCTTACAACATTCATCTAAGCACAATTGCAAGGAGAAAGTGAGAGAAAAGCCAGAAAATACATCTGCATTATTTCCATGTCTTTGTTTTTATTGCCACAGAGATGACTGATGCAGCAAATTGTTTTTTAAAACTTTTTCTTGAACAAAAACGCTGCAGGCTTAAAAAGAAAAAGAGCAAGACATGCATAAAACCGAATATTTAAAAGAGGTATACATTTAAATTCACAAAGTAAAACAGCATAATCTCCCTGGGGGTTATGTAGTCTGATTATATATATTTCATCCAATAAACAGTGCCGACAATTGGGAGCAATTTCCCACACCCAGACGACAGGGGGCAGAGTATTAGCTGTTGCTTTTTTTCTAAAATTCTACACATTCAGTTCAATTTACACAATCCATCACGTTAAAAGCATACATGTTTACAACATGTGCAGCACGTCAAATCTGTGGGTTGTTGTTTTTCTTTTTTTCTTTTTACCGGAGTGAGCGCACCGAGCGTCCATGGCGAAAAACTGCCGCTGGACATAAAAGAGGCAGACATCGCTGTCGCGGCCGAGAGGAGAGAACATTAGACGGCAGGGCTTTTTGGAAAGCTCCGAGGCCGGTCCGACCAGTCTCCACGCAGCGCCGCTCGTGTTCCCGCCATCATCCTCCGAGCCAGAAGCCATAAATAACCGCGGGGGTTATATGGTTTCCAAATTTGAATAAAACGGACCCGTTTTATTCTCACGGGTCGCTCAGCTCTCTGGCTGCTGGCGCTAAACATTTAGTCCATATTTAACCATCATCCACTGGGACTGAACTGCTGCTGCAGCAGACAGACAGACAGACAGACAGACTACCGACAGGCAAAAGGACTGATGCAGCCTGACTCCTATTTGCGATAGATAGATAGATAGATAGATAGATAGATAGATAGATAGATAGATAGATAGATAGATAGATAGATAGATAGATAGATAGATAGATAGATAGATAGATAGATAGATAATTATAGTCTCTGATATTTTCAATAGCTCAGCATCCACCAACAGTACTTGCGTGTTTTATTGCCAAACAGACCCAGCCAGACACTTCCTGTTCTTAGATTATAGGGTCAGTCTGTTTCTAAAAATGGAGCCCTCTCTGTAATGCTTTGTTGGTGGGATATTGAGTTGATTAGAAACAGATTGTGTGGTGAATGTGAAACATAACAATTCATGTTCCCTATAAATATTTCAAAAGCACGCCTATAATAAGATAAAGAGCCTGTGATTGTATGATTTGGCTGTTTTTCATTTGTGCTGAGGATTTTCCATTTAGATTGTTTGATGTATTTTCAGCATTGACATTTTATTAAACATGCATCAAAGAAGGGGATAATAGTAAACATTAAATATTTCTTAACAATTTAACTGAAATCAATTAAACTTAACTGTATTATAATCTATAATCTTAACCCTTTCTGTACAAAGTGAGGCACAGCTTCAAATTCGGCATAATGTTAGGAGTCCTAACATTATGCCGAATTAATCATTATCCCAACTTAGGACCTCTGAAATGTAAAATGAATGGGGATTATAATTTTTTATTATTGACCTTCTTCCTTATGCAAGGAACATGGGTGCCAAAGGCTCAACGGGAGTGAAAGCTGGCTTATTTTCTTCTTTCAAAAAGAAAAACTTCTGTAGCTTGAACTGGGAAAGAAAGAAAGAAAGGTGTGCTAATGATGTATATAAGAAAGAGAGATGTGTATGAAACTGCATATACTGTAAAGCTGCAGATCAGTCAAGCCATCCACCCAGCCATAGAGCTCATTTTGAATCTTTTTCAACTGCAGGCTGACAGAACAGAAAAAGACTCCTGGATTGGTGTGGATACGTCTTCATAAAAAAAACGTTGCCTCCCATTTCAGCCTGTTTTGTACCTGAGCTTTAACCCTTCATGTGTTTGATGCCATGTCAGATCGGTTCCAGGCTTTTTATACTTCATGCCAAGTCAGTTTCTTTTGTTCACTCCGGTTCAGCTCCTCTTCTCAGATGTTTTTTAATATTAATTCAATCTTTTTTCAATCTACCATGCTGTCTTCACCAGCCTGTCTGCACTGGGGTCGTACTCTTGAGAACCATTATGAAAACTGTGTCATATAACTACTAAACACAATGACCTGACTGCTGAGTGTGGGAAGCAGGAGGTCACATGACTTGGACTCTTTATGTACTAAAAAGGTGAGGAGAAAAACATGGTAACCAGGCAGAGGTGCTGAACCTGGACTACGCTGACCTTTGGTAACATTTCTAAACTAAAGAAACCAAATTCCCAGAAAACAGTGCTCTCATACTGGAGAGAGTGTGCTCTTATTAAAAGTATCTGTAAATAATAGAGTCATAGTATAAATACATAAATGAGATAAGTAATTAGTTAGTTTTGTTCGTTAATAAAAAAGACAAAGCTCTGACACGATTAATCTGTAGCTACTTGTGAAAATCACAACAAAGGGTTCTCTGTTCTTTTCTATTCTTTGCTGTTCTGGTCTATTCTGTCTATTCTATTATGATCTATTCAATTATTTTCTGTTCTATTTAGTTCGTTCTACTCTGGTCTACAGTATTCCATTCTATTCTATTCTACTGTATTCTATTCTATTGTGTTTTGTTCTATTCAATTCTGTTCTATTCTATTGTGTTCTATTGTAGTCTATTCTGTTCTGTTCTATCTTATGTTGTTACATTCTTTTCTATTTTCTATTCTGTTTTGTTCTGTTCTATTCTCCTTTAATAATCTCAGCAGGATGAACTGACACAGCAAATATGTTCAGGATCATTTTGAGGAGCATATTTATAGGCTTTGCAGGCTCCAGACCTCGATCCCGATGAACATCTATGGTATGTGCTGCGCAAACAAGTTTGAAGAAACAAGGTGAAGCTGCACCTCAGAGCTTGCAGGATTTAAAGGATCTGGCACTGACATCTTGGTGCCACATACCACAGCAATGTTTCAGGGTGTCAAGTGGAGTTCTTCCTGCAGAGGGTCGGGGTAGTTTACTGATCAAAGAGGGTCCATCACATGTATCATTACTGCTGATCGGTGTATGTTTGTTCATGTGACTTGTTGTTTCTATTCCTTTATTAAGCTGGAAATAATGAAATTCAACATTTCACCCCTGAGTGATGAAAGGTAGTGTCTAGACTAGTGTGATCCAAAACAAGCGCAGCTTGTTCTAATCCGAGACATTAAAAATCAGAGTCATGTAAATGTGTAGCCTGAGCTCAGAGCAGAAATATAACACTTAGAATGTCTTAGAGGTGGGAAAAACATTCAGAAGCTGGATCTCTACAAAAGTAAATCAGAACAAAACAGAAGGCCAAGATAAAGAAATGTGAGCTTTTATAATTATGCTTTGTTCTAGGCAGACATAGATCCAGCTGTGTTCTTTATGGAGTAGCTGTTAAAGTAGTTTCTCTCTGACATCTAAGTAACAATGTTTTGATTTTTCTATTTTTCTCTTGTAGCTATTGCAAAGCCTGATAAAATACCAACACTGAACATAAGAAATTACAAGGCTGCATGTCATAGACATTCTGAAAGTTTTAAAAAATATGTGGAAATACTACACAGAAAACCCAAACAATCCAGAAGTAAAACACAGCTGGAAATGTTTTAACCTTTCTATGACAGGTAGATTTGCTCATGGCGCCTCCTGCTGTGCAGCCACGTTTGGTTGATTCAACTTATACTCTGAGCTTTAAGTGGGTATTATATTTTAGACATCAGAGTGACAGGTTGATGGAATGGGTCCAACAACAATCACATAATATTATACAGAAGAGGTTTATGCATGTTTGAGGTTGTACTGACATCTCTGCATTGCTTTACGTTGCTGTGCCGGTTTGGTTGCACATCGTTTGATCCAAATGCACAGATTCAGATATGACCTCCAGCAGGCTCATATGGCATATACAGGAAGGAAAATTGTTCGCATTAACAGAGATGAAAACAATGCATAATCAGCTGCATGGATGGAAATTAAGAAACAAAGGTGCAGACAGTCAAAAGCAACCAGCAACATAAATTCCTTTAACTTCTCAGTACAGCACTCTGACCACTGTACGGTGTAACTGCATTGGACAAAATATGGTGTGAAGAAAATCTGGCACAGAGAAGGTAGAAGATGGAAAACAGAGCCAAAACACATCCATCATTAGCTTCATCTTGTGCACAACCAAGCTGCTCTCAGAAGGACCCCAGCTCCTCTGGAAGAGCACTTCTCCAGTCAATATGGTTTTCATTAACAAGGCAAACGGTCGGGCCTGCTAAGAATCCAGTTCCTCCTTGCAATGCTTCTTGTTCCAATAAAGCTTGTCATTCACTTATTAAAAACCATTTTTACAGACAGGACTAATAATAATTTCTTTGATTCTGATTTATTGGAAATAAAAAGTATAATCAGAATTTCTCAAATGTGTTGTTTTGTACAGTTTTTTTTATGATGGTTGTTTACACTGAAATTCAAATAAAAAAAATCAGCCCCTCTAAAACAACAAAAACAAAAAAAAAATATTATAAGTAAAAGCAGTAATGGATATTAAACAATTAAAACATAAATCACAAAGTTTACTGTTGAATATACATTGTTTATTTTACTTGTTTATACTGACGCATTTCTTCCCGGATCAAACGACTCGGCAAGCGACCCGTGTATAAATTGCCTCCGCTCTGATCAGCAGGCATGCTACAGCTGGGTTGACACGCTAAATTACATGGCACCATTGAACGCAACGTATGGACACTAACACCCTTCACCAGTCGCTTCTTATCTAACAACCCGAAACAACTCTGTTTACATTTGATAAACATAAGGCAGCGTTGTTGAGAGAGATTCGGAAAGATAATAGAGCGAACCAATAAAGCACACTGACTACTTCCTGGCTTCATTACATGTGGCTCTCCATTGTTTACTTTCCTGATTTCTGTCACACTAATTACATCATCATTGCTAACCCTGCATGATGGCATCACCACACATGCAGAGGCCAAACAGCTGCCAGCGAGGGGTTAGACGCAGCTTTTTTTGCCAGTGGGTAAGATATCTCAGAAATCCAAAACATACCAGAAAAGTAAAAGACTTGCAACCCTACAGGTCTAATTGTGAAAGCGCACAGTACCGTGACCATCCAACTACAGGCTCGATTTAGTGGCACATCAAATGTTTGTAAAGTAAGCTTCTCACCGTCAATCACACAAGGAAAGACAAATGGCCAATTAGAAGCTTGTGGACAGCCTAAACTCGGGGAAGCAGGGTTGAGCATGAGCTAGAGTTTTCTGTTTGGTCCTAGTGCTCGACAAGTGTAGTCGTATTGTAGCTTAAAATTTTTTTTGACAGCGAAAAGTCCACCCACCGAAAAAATAAAAATAAAAAATTACGTCAGTGGAGTCGATCCAGTTTGATAAACATGTATTAACCCGGTATTTTCAATATAAAGAGGGTTGAGAGAGACCTTGGGAATTTACTAATCAGATATCAAACCAGACCCATTTAACTCTTTTCACTGAGGAGAAGTACCAGCTCTGTTTTGGGTTACCCACAGAATAATGCAAGTTTGCAGGACTGTTTATTTTGTCTTTTTCTGTCCTGCTCCAGCTAAGCTCCAGCCTCCCAGTGACCTTCAAGGAAAGCTCATTGTAAGCAAGGCATGGATGGTTTAGCTCTGTAAGTTCAAAAAGATAACGGTGATGAAATATTTTTGCATGTCTTAGAAGAAAATAAAATTTGATGGGAGCAGAAATCAACCAATTAAATCTCCCCGCCGAGTAAGTGGTATTGTTCTTTTCAGGTAGCAGGGATATAAACTGGTA